CTCTAGCTCCGGTGTCGGCGGGCGGCGCGGCGCCCCCGGAAGGTGCCATGTCTAACGGGGTTTACGTGCTGCCAAGTGCGGCCAACGGAGACGTGAAGCCGGTGGTATCCAGCACGCCTCTAGTGGACTTCCTGATGCAGCTGGAGGATTACACGCCTACGGTGGGCTTCCCGCCTGAACAAGGCTATTAGGTTTCTGTCACGCCAACTTCTGCCACGCCACCTGGATTTGCTGCCTCCTCTTCTTGTATTTCTCCCCTACTGGCTCTTACGATTTATGTCTTCTGCCCACCCGAACTGGGAGCTTCCTGATAGCCAGGCCTGTTCTCTGTTTCCCTTACCCTCCCACTCTCAGCCCAGCAGTGCACAGGGCTAACACTGACAGTCGTCTAATTGATTTCTCAGATCCCTGATGCAGTGACTGGTTACTACCTGAACCGTGCTGGCTTTGAGGCCTCGGACCCACGCATGTGAGTAATCTCTGGGCAGGTTAGAGCCTTGGGTGCTTGTGTGGAATTTGTTGTCCCATCTCCTTCTCATACCATTTTTTTTCTCTCTAGAATTCGGCTCATCTCCCTAGCTGCCCAGAAATTCATCTCAGATATTGCCAACGATGCCCTACAGCACTGCAAAATGAAGGGCACAGCCTCTGGCAGCTCCCGAAGCAAGAGCAAGGTGTGAGGGGCGGTTCACTGAATCAGTAATTACCTCCTACAGCAGCAGAGGCTTATTTTACCCTGAAACCCCTTTGAGGGAAACTAAGCCCTAGGGGAGGTGAAAGACCTACTCAGGGCCACCCACCTGGGACTGGAATCTGGAATTTCTGTGTTCAGCTGGTGCTCTTCCCTCTTCCCTCAGGACCGCAAGTACACTCTAACCATGGAGGACTTGACCCCTGCCCTCAGCGAGTATGGCATCAATGTGAAGAAGCCGCACTACTTCACCTGAGCCACCCAGCCTAAATGTACTTGTCTGTCCCCTTGTCCCCACACCAGCCTGTTTTCATAATAAACTTTATTGTGACAGGCAGGGCTGATCCCTCCCATGCTGGGAGACACCGTGTGGCAAGTGACAAAAGCTTTGAGCCCACTCCCTTTTGGGGCCACAGTGGTAGGGATGGGGACAGGGGATGGGCCCCATGGCTGGGGTAGTACCATGACTGGAGGCAGGGGAGGCAACCAGAGGCCCGCTGCTTTGGGGAGGTGCACTCCCCGAACCGTGTCCTGACACCTCTGGAGTTTAGGCAAAGGACTTTCCACCCCTACTTGTCCTGCATCTTCTCCAAGATGGGCACAATCATGTCAAACTTGGGCCGCTTAGCAGGGTCTTCATTCATGCAGATCTTCATAAGCTTACATACGTGGGGGGAAATGCCTGGTGGGATGGTAGGCCGGAGGCCTTCCAGTGCCACCTGCAAACACAAGGAAATACAAGGTGGGTCTCAGAACTTGAGTCTCCTGTGGGCAAAAGCCTCTAGGCCTCAGGACAGGATTCTGTATATTTGAACAAATGTGGGAAGATCTGGCTCCACTACAGTTACCATCATTACCAGCACCATTCCCCCAACGTGAGTACACCCAGTTGTGCTCTCACCTTCATTCCAATTTCCATGTTGGAGAGGTCAGCAAAGGGTACCTCCCGTGTCACCAGTTCCCACAGAAGCACTGCAAAACTCCACATATCTGCTGAGCGTCTGTTTGTGTCTTCAGGCTTCTTTTGCAGAGCTGGAGGGACAGGACTTACCTGTTTCAGTTGCCTGGCCTGTCTCTGCCCCCTTCCATTACTACTGAGCTGTCCCTTCTCTGCTCCCAACATAACGCCCTCACTCACCTTCAGGGGCCACCCAGGCAGGTGCATACATGCGCCCGGGGCACTGGAAGGAGAACTTGACGTCGGCCATACTGATTCGCGCAGTCATGTCCTCATCAATCTGAGGAAGAGAAGACAGTTGTGTCGAAAGAGGTAAGTCCTGTCCTAGATAGGGCAAGGGCTTCTGGGGACCTGGGCCAGGAGTGAAGTTGTGACCTCACCATTACACTACGACTGTTAAGTGCATGTCGTGGGATGAGGGGCTCTAGTGTGTGCAGGAAGGCCATGCCCCTTGCCATGTCCAGTGCAAACTTCACAGCCTGGCTCTGGTCCACAACAAAATCTAAGAGAGGCGGCAAGAATTAAATAATTTGGAGAGCCTCACACACCTCCTCTCCCCTTCCCCTACCACAGTGCAATCTGGCATCCCCTACTCACTGGTGCCTTCGTGTAGCACATTGTACAGGGATCCATATGGCATCCAGTGTGTGATGAGGGTGGGGTGAGGAGCAGGTGGAGACTGGCAGGCACCTAGCACTGGGAGCACGTTCGGGTGTGAGAAAATCCTGAAAGAGGGAGAGAGCAGTCCCGGCTGAGACCCAGCTTAAAAGATCTTCACCTGGGTGCTGGGCAGGGTTCTTTGGAACCAAGGCCTCCAGTTTAGGCCTTGCCCCACCTGAGCCGGGGACACTCCTCGTTGAAGTCCCTGCTCTTCCTTGTACTCCAGTCTCGAACCTTCAGCATCTTCACGACGATGTCATTGCCCTGCCAGCGGCCCTTCCATAGCTGAGGGACAGGTAAGGGTTAAGAGGCTTTAACTAAGGCCATTGCTTTCTTGCCCACTGACTGGAGGAGAAACTTAAAACAGGTGCTGAGCAGGTTATATGTGGGGGTGGAAGGGTGGGGGGACAAAAAGGCAGGGGTCACCTCTCCAGAGTGATTCTCGTTGAGCTTCGCCAGGAAGTTGAGCTGTTTGAAGTCAATGCCGGAGTGTTTGTTCAGAGTCCCATTTCCTGAGAGTGTGGGCAGGTCAGGTACCCAGCTTCCCTCTAACCCAGCCCCAGGAGCCCAGGATTATTCCCTGTTACCACCCCTCCCCTCACAACTGACTCACGGGGCCGAGTGCGGGTGGTCCCCTTCCAGAATGTGTCCTTGTATGGAATACGGTTCAGATTCTGGCCCATCTTCTCTGCCCGCTCTAGGGAAACAAAGACAAACAGCCTTGGCCTCACCTGTGGTGTGGTGGTGGGAGGGGATAGGTGGGGACAAGATGAGAGGACACAAGCGGTGGGTGGGGACAGACCTCGGAGAAGCTCTCTCAGGGGTGCCTTGGCTTTGTCCACAGGCATCTCTCCATACTTGTTACAGATGCTGACAAGGGCCCCATTTGCCACCAGGTCCTGGAATTAAAAGGTGGCTGTGATGAGGACAGTCACAACCAGCCATTAACGCAGATGTAGTACAGACCCTGTGAGTGACATACATGGGGCAGGACTCACAGGATGGGTTGAGGGTTCCAGGATCTCCCGTTCAAGATCAGACTTTGCTTCCCACCCATCCCAGGGCTCTAGGTCTGACTACTCACCTCTGCCACCTGATCTTGACCCCAGAAACAAGCATAGTGCAGGGGCACATTCCCATGCTCATTCACTGCATTGATGTCAGCTTTGTACTGCAGCAGCTGGTCCCCGTGGCCAAACAGAAAGAGACAGAAGGCACAGTCAGTCCCAAATGAGAGACGTGTTGAGGCACACGAGGAGCGAGAAGAGTACACACACTTTCTATAATACATTATAGTGCCTGTGACTGACTTCCAGGAGTGTATATCAAGTAGGTGAAAGGCAGAGGTTCATACATACCTTCTGTACAATATCACGGTGTCCGTGACTGGCTGCCAGGTGCAGGGGGGTGTCATCCCCACGGTTCATCACATTGATTCGTGCCCCCCGCATGATCAGCATCTCAACCACAGCAGAGCGTCCTTCTCGGCAGGCCCAGTGCAAGGGGGAGAAGCCATGATCGTCCCTTTGAGGAAGGGGCAATGGTCATTGATCTGGAGGTGGGATGGGGCAAAGGCTTTGATATGAGAAAAACTGATAGTCACTCTGCATACTCTCCCTGGGAAACCTTACCTCTCTAGGACTTTGATTCTTATTCATGCCAGCAACTCCCAAAGCTGTCCAATTCAGACCTTCCCCCAAGCTTTAAACCCAGCCAACCACCACCTGAAATCCCAGCAAATCTGTATGATTCATTGCCTGCATCACCATCTCCCACTAGCCTTTCTTCCCTAGCTTGCCTGTCTCATTAAAGGGTAGCATTTGTCATCTGGTTTCCTCTGCATCCCTTTTGCAACATCTGTTGGTCCTTTCTGTTTTCTACTGCATCTTGTACCTCCCCCTATTAGAGTTTTTGTCACACTGCATTATAAAAATCTGTTAGTGAGCTGTCTTGTCTATGAGACTGTAAGCTTCTTGAAAGAAAGGACTGACAGAAGGTGTTCAGTGCATGTTAATGGGAAGGAAGGGTATCTTTGAGAAGGAAAGACAACTCATGAGAGAGGGAGCAAGCTTACTGACGGGTTCTGGTACTGAAATTAAGATCTAAAAAGGGAATGGAGTTAAAATGACATTTTGGAAGAGTTTATAATGAAAAGGAGAAGTGCTGTTGGTGAGTCATTAGTGATGAGGCAGACACCACCACATAAGACAGGATTCCTCTGCTCAAGCAATCGTGGACACGGCAAACAGAAGAAAATGAGAATGGCTTCTTTAGGAAGAAAGCTGTACCTGACTCTCTTCTTTTCCCAAGAACTTGTATTTCACAAAGTAAAAGTGTACCAGAAAAAAAAAAATTGGCTGGAAGCTAGGCCTGCCTGACAGCCTGGGGCCATAAAAGGAAATTCCCTCCAGTTCTGGCTGCAGGTCCAAGGGGCGGGGCAGGAGGGCGGTCCACGGTCTGGGCCGGCAGCCTCCGGATGCCTTAGTGCTGCGGTCACTTCCCGTGTGGGGGCTCTAGCGGGGCCTCGGGCTGCTCAGGGGTATGGCCACTACTAGCCACCCAGATGTCCCCACAGCCAGTGTGGGTGGTGGGCGTGGCCTTTAACTTACTGACTTCCCGCCACAGCTGCCCTCTGCTCACTCAGATAGCCAAAAGCTTTTCTGGAGGTGGGTATTCCCCTCCCTCTCCCTAAAGCAATTACTACCCCCTGCTTATCAGTCAGTTTTGCATCCCAGCTCTTTAATTTGTGCCCCAGTTTATCAGCCTCTGGCAGTCTGTAGCCCCAGAGCCGGCCAGAGCCTGAGGGCAAAAGTATGGGCACAAAGGTTCTGCCTACTGTCCAGCTGCTGGTCACCCCAGAGCCTGAATTTTAATCCCAAAAAGGCCAGGAGGAAATTCACCCCCACTTCATATCCAGCATTTAGCCAGTTGGGCCCCGAAAGCCTATCCCCTCAAACCAGCACTAGTTTCACTAATGCCACCCCTTCACCTTTTCGCAGCAGTCTCCTTAGATGTCAGGCTCACTGGACAGTGTCACCTACGCCTTTATAACTCCACCAACAGAATAGTAACTGTGCTCACTGTCTATCACAGCACCCTTTGAAGAATTGTATGAAAAATGGAACAAGTGACTGAATTATGGAGAAATAGTGTAGAGCCTAATGGGAACCAGTGAAGCCTGGATGAAGATGACAGGTGATCCTTAACTAAACTGTCCCAACCTTACAAAATAAAATTTTTAAATAAAAAAAACTAAATTCCACCATCCTGATCAACATCACCACTGCTTTTCTTGCCTTCCTGTCTCAGCCCACCTTAAAGAACATGTCTACGTTAGCTTTGTTTCCTCACCTCCCACTCAACCTGCCACAAGGCCACTGCCTTGAGGGCAGGCATTATGTCTGATCCTAGAACTCTTAGCACCCAGCACAGATGTTGCATGTAGTCCTTTAAATGAAGAAATCAAGTGTAGTCTGGTTTCTTAACCTGTTTTCCTCTGAAACAGCCCTCAGAGATCATCAGCTCTATCATTAATTGTAAATTCAGTGATTACTTTTAAAGTGCTCAAGTTCTTTGACCTCTCAGCCTTTACTACTACTGTTGTCCACTCCCCCTTTGTTGAAACATTCACTTATCTCTAAGCCTTACGGTCATATTTTCCTGTTTCTCCTTCAACCTCCAGTTGCTCGTTTTTGGTCTTGCAGGTTTCTCATGCCCTC